GCAGGTTGGAAAACAAGACTCTGATGAGCACTTATTAAATTGTTATGAAAGTATAGACAACAGCTCCGGGGAACACCTCTGCAAGACTATAAGAGGTATGTTGTCCGGACCAAAAGCTGGAGTATTATGAATGTCAGGCAATGGATCAACCTGTTTGTCGGCTATATCAGGTTGAACGCACTAGTTTCAACACCAATATCTAGTTTATCTCGTCAGATAAACATCTTCGCCGTTTGTGCCTTACCCCGGGATTTGCGCCTACTCCATGCTGCAGTAAAATTTATTTTTTGACAACTTTAGCAGTTTTTTTAACATGGTTAAAATTAACTGCTTTAGACATTTGAAACAATGATGAGACTTAAACCATAACAGTGCAGCAGCCTGATCATATTGTTGCACGACTATTGCCAGATAGGTTAAGTAACATCAGCAAAAAGAGGAGTATTAGTGATTATGGCTTTGGCGATTAGTGTGATTGGCTATAGCATACTTTCATACTTTATCTTTCCCAGAGTTATTTTTAAATCTCTCTTTATTGGTGATGGACCAATAAGATGTGATAGACCAGCACATTCTTCAGAGTGAATGACAGTGATAAATTTTCTTAAATATTTCAAGCATATTTTTATCCAAGCATATTTTTATCCATGAACGTTGTTCTAACGATCGCCTTTGCCTGGTATTGATTGACAACCGCAGTTTTATGTTGATGCAGCAGTACTTGATTTTTGTGAAAAAAATAGCATCACACTATTATCTTTTTTAGCACACTGAACGCATAAGTTACAACCATTCAGTAAGAGTGTTTATGATCCTTTGAAAAAGTTTGTGAACTCGCATATGATGCATGGGTTACTGTAAACAAACGACCCGTAACTATCTATGACGTACCTGGTATAGTAAGAACAGTACTTTGGAATGCTATAACTATATAGAAGATAATTAGTGGTCAGAAAGTGATTTTTTGTCATCATATTTAACAGGTAGACTAGACCTTTGCGTTATAGTGTCAAACATGGATTTAAGTATCACTAAACAAACGCCTAGCATAGAAGTTTCAGCTGTGAATTGTAAATAAAAAATTTTCCAAAAATTTAATTCAAACAAATCAACATCCAAGAAGGAAAATTTTCCAGATTTAGACAGCTCGCCAGGCGCTACTCCAAATCCTTCACTTATACCATCTTCTGAAGAAGTGAGGCCTTTTGAAAAAGCTCAGTCTATAAAAAACACTATAAATAAGCTCAGAAATAGAGAACAAAGTTCATCATTATTAAATGAAATACCAGTTCGAAAAACCTTGGAATAGTAACAGAAAGCAAAAAAAGAAAAAAAAAGAAAGATCTAAAAAATAAAAAGCTAGTTTCTATCATAGAAGACGGTCCAAGTAACTCTAAACGAGCAATATACTAGTCAACCTGTGAAAAAATGCAACAAGAAAAAAAATGATGATATTTAGGATGATGTCTTGTGTATTAGCTGCTTCAAATCGTTCTCAAACAGCCTTTCAGTTGCTGTGTGGATACATTATTCAAACTTTCATTGGCAGGCACAAGTGATTAGTACTGAAAAAGGTAAGAAGGGGTTAGATTATAAACGTTTGTACAGTTGTTAAATAAAAAGTTATTGTTTTATTTTTGTTTTTACTTCTTTCTTTTTGGAGTTCATTGTTATAAAGTTGTGTTTGTTTCAATCTTGTTATATCAAGTTATAAAGTTGTTTTTGCTCAATACACCATCTTCATACATCAAATTCTGCTACAAGTTGTATGCGGGTCAACCTGCCCTAATCCTTGGGCCAACCTACCCCAATAGCAGAATAGGCTAATCCACCCGACATGAAAAATCACCCAAATAAAAACAGTTCTAAATGCATTGAAAACCAGTTTTGAACTTTTTTTGTGTGAATATTCTAAGGACTAGTAAACCTTTTTCAAAAAAAATAAAATAATAAAAACACAAAAAGCTTTACTTAATAAAACGGACTTGTAAAACAAATTCAATAACATTTTATGAATATTAAGATATAAATATAATTAACAGAATGACAGAATAGTATGAAATAAACAGAATAATATGAAGTATATACTAAACTGCTTGTATAGTGTCTTAAATAACAGAAAAGTGCTCAAACTTTTGATTAAGAGGTGACTTTAAGAAAGCGAGACAAAACAAGACAATGAGACAAAAGAGAAGATCACATTCTTATGATAAAAACGAATTGGTATTCTTATGATGAAAACGTAATAAATTTTATTAGTTTGTTAGATTTAATTGGTGTCATCCTTTAGGTTTGATTAACGCCATCAATTATCTGTATCACATCTGTAAGCTGAACTTTTAAGTTAACGCAACGATTACCACATCTGTTAGTGAACTCTTTACCAATAAATGTAAAAGTTGTAAAAAAAACTATCAAATTTATTTATTTATTTTGTACGATGTAAACATACATTAAATGAAGAATCGCAGCAAAAACAAAACTTTATAGTCATCAAAAACACGCTTCTTGTGTAATCAACAACCTTAGGGCTACTTTTGTCCTGCTGAATACAAAGAAATAAGCCTCATCGCAGATCAATTATTTAGAACAAAGCAGTTTTACTTTCCTACTAAAATTTCAACTTTCTTTCTAAAATAACTTATCTTGCATTCAAAAAAAAAATTGAAAAATATTTTCAATTTTTTTATTGAATATGTTTTTTTTATTATTGTTATTGTGCTATTATAAACTTTATTGCGTTTTTATTTGCGAAAAATGACGAGTGAACTTAGCGAGGTTTTTCATGTAATGACAAACAAAATTTAAAATGTAAATAAATAAGCTGGAGAAAGCGTATTTATCCAGATTCAGCATTAAAACACCCATTTTGATCCTCCATATAATATGAACGTATGAAAAACCCACCCATTCAAAAAGGAATGATTTTTTTTTTTTTTTTTAATGCTTTGTTTACATTTAACATAGTATATATAAATTGCATATTTTTCAAATACAAACAAGGCTTCTAAAAGAAGATCACAATGATCTTATCGTCAGTTTTTTACAAAAAAAGTACGTAAAATATTAAATAAGAGTAATGTATCAATATCAATATCAATATCAAAATGTCCTAAAAATGTAATATCAAAATGTTCTAAAAATTGTTGACCCAATGTCATTAAGGTCCAGGCGATAAAAGAGTATTAATGCGAGTTGAAAAATGCTATACGGCTAAATATTTAGAAAGGTTCTAAAAGAACATCATAATCTATTGTTAAATTGGCCTGCAGATTTAAATGGTCTGCAAATTCCTTTATTTAATAAAAAAAAAGATTTAAAAAAGAAAGATACAAAATTGGAAAACTAGTTTGTTTATCAATAAAATAAATTTTAAAATTATTATATCTTTAAAGTAAAACAATTTTCAACAAGTTTTTAATATTAAAAAAATAAAATAGAGCAGATATCTGATTGGTTAACTAAAAAGGTATCTGATTGGTAAGCTAAACAGCCACTCCCATGAGTTTTTAATTATGTTTTGTTACTAACACCATTTTTTTGCGAACTCATATATCAAAACCATGAATTTAATAGCTAAAGTACATATAATTTAAATTTATAATTTTAATGATTATAATTTAATTTTATCATTTAAAAAAAAAACTCAAAGATTTGGAACATAAAAAACAAGTTTGATATTATTATAATATATTTTATATAGATCGAGAATGAATTGATTCAAAGTAGGTGCATTAAGTACACATACATTAGTTAAAGGTTCTGGTCACTTAACTAAAAGGTTCATTCTCACTTCTTATTATATTGAATGTTATAAAATTTTAAATTCAGAAAAAAGTTTATTTAAAAACTGCACAGGTAAACATATTATTGGTACATAGAAGAGGAGGTAGTCACAGAATCTCTCACAGAGACCTTTTTTTTATTTGAACTTTGTGAATTTCGTCCATAACCAACATATATTTTTGGCAGTATTAAACAAGCTGCATAAATTAAAGCAAACATGCTAAGAGTAAACGTCATCACTATTGCTTTGAGTTCTTCTTTTACAAAATTAAAAGTCAAAAGGTATGCAATCATCACAACTAATAAAGCAATGCACGTAAAACTAACAAACTTTGGCTCGTAAAAGTGGTGTTCCAGATTACGTTCACGAAACGCACAACAAGTTGCCAAAATTAGTATAATTAACGGTATAAAGTTTGAAATCAAGTTTGGCACATTAAAACTTACGGCGCAAATTTTTCGAATAAAAAAGCCTTTAGGAACATCATTGCTCTGCTTGTTGTTAAAAATAAGTATAAAAACCGGAATCATTTCTATAAGAAGCATTAGTACAATTGAAGTAATTTGTAATGTCAATAGTCGGCACTTAAACGTACTTGTGGCTTTTTTGTTTAAATACTCAGCTGCCATTTTCGTTTTGGTTAACAATGTAGAAGAATAAGTAATGAGTAACAAAAAAAATATTACGTTTCGTGAGCTGCACAGATTATTAGTTGGCTCAAAAACATTCATGTATCCAAATAAAAAACTACAAAATGGCAAACTGCTGGTCAAAAGATGTAAAAATGGTCTATCTTCTATAAGTAAATTTCGAAACTTAAAAAGATAAATTTCAAAAATCATGATTAAAACCAAGCCAATACTGCTAACAACTATAACTGCAATCCCTTCTGAATCTTTGTAACTCAACCAAGTTGTTTTAGTTTTAATACAGTTAATATTATTTTCCGTATGATATCCATCTTGGCAGTTTGAGCAATTGGAATCCGTTGTTGAATTAGCATAGCTATAAAAACCTACGCATTTCTCACAATGCCAGCAACAAGAGTTTGGTAACATTTGGGTGACATAACCTTCTTCACAATCTTCTCTACATTTTGAACGAGGTGTTTTTTTTAATGCATCGTTTTTGAACCAATATGGCCATTTTATATAATCAATTGTAACTTTAAAACTAGATTTATTTTTGACATTGATTTCATTGGTCCAATTACCTATGCTAATATAATTCAAAGTTCCATTTTTTTCATCATACTGCAAGTTTTCAATTGTGTAAAAAGCGGGTAATAGATCGTTTGAGTTATTGAATGAAATTAAGTTGCCATTGTAATTATAACTAGGAATAGTTTTAATAATGTAAGTTAACTTTTCATAATCAATTGGTGAATTTTTACGTCTTTCATCGTAGCAGTTTTTATCATAATATTGTATTCCATTTGCTAACACAGTTACGGCATCTATCCAGTTAGAGGTCACTACTGATTCAGACACCTTTAACATTACATGGTCGACTGAAACAGAACAGTTATCTCCAAATAAGATTAATTTGTTGATTGAAATTTTATTTGGCTTACAATTAAATTCATTTATTAGATAATTCTGCAGCCACACGTCAAATAAATAATTGGTTTTTATCTCGTTTCTGATATAATCACTTAGACCAAAAATTTTTGTAAACTTTAATGATACTGATAACAGACCATGCATTTGGTTTATTGGTACATCATGCTTTTTATTTTTCGCTTCGTTGTTCCATGCGTCGCTTGTTAACCATATACGAGATATGTTTTCCCTATGCGCTCTTTTTAAAATAAATTCTCCCAATTGTTTAAAATAACAAAACATCACAACAACTGTGGCATTCGATGCTATTTTAATTTTATCAATAGTCTTGTTTATTTCATCATTAAATTCTTCAGCTGGATAAGTAACAAAACTTGTATTAACAATACAGATATTTCTGGATTTAGCTTCAATTTCAAGCTCAGCAAGTGCTAGTTTACCATAAGGGTCATTAGAACCAACTGCAAAAATATAAGTCCAATTAAGTTTCATCATAATGTCTAGCATTACCTGAACCTGCATACTATCTGACGGAATAACACGAATAAACGAGCTATACATTTTGGTGTCACTAAGCAGGCGACTTGAAGCCCAAGGGCTTAAAACAGGAATTTTAAACAGTGACATTAAAGTCGCTAAAGAAACAGTTGTTTTACTCATATCCGTTCCTAAAATCGCAGCAGGTGGCTGTATAAAGTTCTCATTAGCGCTACACTGCAAATATTTGTCATTACAGTCTGATGTCATTTTAACCGTTGAGACAATTTGAATTCCCAAAGCCATTGTTACTGACAAATTGCCACAATTATCATTAAACTGAACATTGATCTTTCCTGATTGCGTGTTGTTGTTAGCTATATCAATAGCTTGTTTAATTGCGTAAGATGTAAGTAAACTGTCAAGACTTACTTTTTTACAACTGCTTTCTGGGTCGGTGAATGTTAGAATTACTTTTATTGTGTAGTTTCTATTTGTAACGCTCTCAAGATGAGTAAAATTAATGAATTGATCATTTTTTTCTACATTAGATGCTAGTTTGCATTGTAGCGAGATATCACATGTAAATAAAAAGATCAAGCAAAATAACGGAACCATTGATGAAAGCTTGCAAATTAGTCAGAGTAAAGGTACCCCTTATGTTCAATTGTTCGATATTTATAAAACAAGTTATTTGCGATTATTTTTACTATTTAGTGTAAAAACTGTTTTATATCTGTATTTATAGTTTTTAGTTATAAAAATTCTTCGTTAAACATTTTTTTTAAATACCACAAAACTCCAGATAATCAATGTTGAATGTGACAATTCTCATTTGACGTGCATATAATCGATGTTTTTATAAATTAAAGAAAATTATTTTTGATAATGACACATTTTTTGTAACAGCAGATTTAAAAGATTAAATCATTTCTATAGCAACTATTTTTTTGAAGTAGTTTTGAGCTTATTGTAAACCTTTTCATCAAAACTCTGCAAGTTTCACTTTCCACCACTTTTAATCCGTTTTTTCCTATGTTGTTTTATCTACTTTTGTCCTTAACTTACATTTATGTTTTCTGTTTATATACAAATTGTCGCTTGACTAGTTGCGTTCTTGTTTTGCTTCAGAAAGTTAGATTAAAACTTGTGGATTTAAAATATGGGCTTGGCTTAACTAGTACTTTTTGAAACTTGTGTCGGTGAAGTAAAAAACTTGTTTCGGTGAAATAAAAAACTTGTGTCGGTAAAGTATAACCGTAAAGAAACTTTTATTTGGTTTAAATCTTTAAAGCATGAACTTCCATTGCAAGCGCAAAAGATCGGGGGTAGACTAAAATGTTTTTCCGAATATTCTTGAGACTAAAGTTGATTCACAATAGCATTAGTCTAGTCACGGTAGTCTTGTTATCACTTATGTAAATAATGCTGAGACAAGCTTCAGCATTATTTACAAAACAAGTCTCAGCATTATTTGCAAAACCTTAGACTAGTATCATGTATGCACATGTGTGGTGGCAACATTTTTTTTCTGACAAATGTTGTAGATTTATCAGTATACGTATCAGAGTTCAAAAGGATACTATCTGCTATTAAGAAATTAGAAATAGCTACGAGAGTTTCTATATACTGCTTGCAAACATCCGAAAACAGGTTGTTTGCAAATTTACTTACCAGCTCTCACTATATATTAAAATCAACAGTTACTAAAAGCAACTTTAATGCAGACAAAAAAAAATTATCTACCGCTTATCAGCTTAGTTACAATTACACGCTTTAACAGTTGTTGATACGGTCAGCCGCTATAAAGAAGCTAAAACACCAAACCGCTTTAGTTGCAGATTCTTTTACTTTACATATCGAATTCTTTTAGATAGATACTGACTGTAAGTTTATCAATGCTAAAAAGACAACTTCTTGGGGAAAATATGTTCAGGTTCGGCAAGATGCAGGTGGAAACTATCGCTAATTAGAAACTATCGAACGTTTTAATTGCACTTTAATGGAACGACTATTTGACGCACAGTGTGGTTGGAGTGGCCTAATGAGTGAGAAAAGTAATTGCCATCAGAAAAGATATCTTAATGATAATTGAAATTGATTTTTAGTATAAAGCCTAGAGATACCATCGAGTTGGTAACACTCCATCAAAACTAACTCGAAACTTATAACTGTCGGCTAGTTGTGTAGCGTCAGTGCGCTACTAATCCAAATCGGTCTATGATTATGGATTAGACTGTTTTAATTTGGTTCATGAAAAGATATAAGTTAGCATGGAGTCTCATCTGCTGCGCAGATTTAAGAAAAAGTGGGTATTTAAAAAAAAATTTAAACCACTTTTAGGGGTTGCTCAAATGCCGTTATGGTCATAGCACTGATATTTTTAACTTCATTTTGAGCGCATATGAGCAAGTTCTGAACATCAGAATAGTTTACTTCTTTTTTATGCTGGAGTCAATGATATATTATATAAACTAGATGTCTAACTTGCGCGATTTCATTGGACAAAAAACTAAATCACTTTTTTTTGCTTATAACAATAGTCAGCCATTTGTAAAAAAGGCAAAAGTTGAAGCCGAAGTGTGATAGTAAAAAAAAACCAATAAATTGAAGATAATTCAAAAACAAATTTTAATAACTATAAAACACTTTTAAAAGTTTTTTTATGGGCCTATGTTTATTAAAAAGTATTTTAATTCATAAAAATGCTTCAAAAGCGTCTGTCGTTTTACTTTTCTATTCAAAACTTTAATCCCTTTTTAATCAAAAATAAATTAGGGAAACATAAATTATTTTTCAAGTATTATCATTTACGCTCAACACTTTTACATAAACAGTATTTAAATTTAAAATATATTTACTTCAATTAAGAAAAGAAACGTTTTTTTGTATGTATTTTTTTTTTTTTTTTTTTTTTTTTTGTATGTAAATCAGTATGAAAAGCATAAAAATAAATTTTTTTCTATAAAAAAAAATTTAAAGCTACTTCTTTTACCTTGAAATATTTTGCTATAATTTTAAATAAGTTCTCAGTTCTAAAAACTTAACTTTTTTAATTAATGAAAATAAAGATGTTGCCCAGACAGCACACGACTCCGGGCAAGTACTCTGGCAAATCATCGCACGCCGTTGCGACTATATTAGTAACGGGCCATTACTGGCGCGAGTCTGGCAAGCGATGCAAGCAACTTTTTATGTATGGTAAATCATCGCAAGAAGTTGCAGCGTTGCGCGACGAAATGCCAGAACTCTTGCAAATAGTCGTAAGCCACTACGACGGTATTTGATTTTGGGCCAGCACTGGCCCGATTGCGGTGGATACAGAGTTTTGGCCGAATGTCGGTTTGCGATAATTGCCATTATTTAAATACTATAAAAGCAAAATTAAACGTTTACAAGATTTAATTTGTTATTACAACTAAATGTTATTATATTTTGGTTTGTATAAATGTTTGGTTATTATACTTTGGTTTGTATAAATGTTATGCTGATATCATATCAGCACAACATTTAATTCGCTGAATTTAATTTTTTTTTCGATTATCAAATATAACAAAATGATCAATTGTAATTACACTTAATGTTTATAATTTCTATTTTTTATATAATTTATTACTACATTTAGCATATATTTTGTTTCTATGAGAACGATAAATAAGTTTTATCATATGGTTAAGTTTATTGATGAAAAAAAAAATTCAGTGGCTGTTTTTTATGTAATAAAACGGATATCAGTCAATCAATATATTTTTCGATAAAAGATCCTACAATCGAGGTCATTTACAATCGAGGTCATTTACAATCGAGGTCATTTACAATCGAGGTCATTTACAATCGAGGTCATTTACAATCGAGGTCATTTACAAATAGTTAGAAACTAATCTTAAGAAAATACCATGAAATAGGATTGATAATACAAATAATGATAAGAATAATACAAATAATTATAATGATGATATAATAATAGTTATAAGAACAATAAAATTATATGATAATAAACCAATATTAATTTTAATACAACAATCGAATATAATGCACAGACAGAAAAGTTACAAAAAGTTGTGTACTGACAAAACGTAACAACCTACCATGTAACTAAAACAATTACTGCAAAAAAAGATTACAATAATCTAATAAAAATAATGATCTTAATATCAATAATCATAATAAAATCAATAAAACTAAAATAGTTAATTAAAAAATAACAATAAATAAACAAAACAAAAATTATTTAATTAAAAGTATAGAGTTTTCATAATGACAATATTAAAATAAAAAAGTAAATTATATCAAGCAAACACATATCATCATTCCGAATTAATAAAATTTAAAAAATATTATTTTTTCTTTCTTACAAAAGGAGCGATTTTTATATTTTATTTTGATTCCTTTTTAATTACTTTCCACTTTCGACTGTATTTTTTTTTTTAACTTTGGTTTTTTCTTTTCTTTCCTTTTTTTTTTCTTGTTTCTTTTTTCTATTATTAATTTGTTTGATTTGTTTTTTAATTTTTTTTTCGTTAGATTACAAATGGTATTTGTGGATGGTCCTTTAAGGCTCACCACATTTACTATTAAAAAATCTAAAGATTATATGAATGATTAGATTGATTATGATAAAAATATTTTGTATGGTTAGTTGTTTTATGAATATTTTTACAAATATATATTTTTTCTATAGTAAATAATTTTTTTGTTTGTTTTTTATTTTGAAGTATTTTTCTATCATTTTTTTACTATTTTGATTTTTTATGTTACATGACTAAACAAGAGAAAAATTACCAATAGCAAAAGTTTATTCAGAATTTTTTTCAATCAAGGATGGTAAGACATGATAAATTTAGAAGTAAACAGATTTCAAAAAAGTATTTGTCCTACCAGGTGATGATCATAATGATTGCAATGATGATATGATATACGTGATAATGATGAGCATAGGTAATTTAGATGGTGATCATCATATCATGATGTTGGTTCACTTTCATTATTTTATAGAAATATTATCACAAATTTGTATATTTAAGTTCAGAAACTGACACTCCAGTTACTGAAAAAAAAAGGAAAGTCGTAAATAATAAATAAAAGACACTTGCTCCAGCCCGTCCTAGATAGCAAGGATATAGTGGACCCGCACTGTTCCTATATAGGCTGGCGAAACTCCGTTTTGCTATAAGGATTTTTCATGGACCAGCCGTGGCTAGCCAACGATGGCAAAACAGCGGCTAGCCAGTGCGGGACAAGAACTGGCAAAACAACGCTTAGCCATTTTTACATACATATTTTACTTACAAATTTTACCGTACCATCGTGATTTTGTCTTTGTTAACTAACTGGGTCGCGTATGTGATTGTTATGGATTTTCATTGGGCAATCCTATTTGAAGTCCCTATACTTTCCTTTTAGAGCCCGTTTACTTAATTATTCAAATTTGTTTTAAGCATAATCGACTAAAACTTTTTTGGTTTAACATTGGCGTATTTTTCATGAGTTTAAGGACAATAAAACGTATTAAACACATGATTATTGACAATTTAATTATTATGTTAAATTTAAAAAACAGGCTTAAATTTTAAAATATATTTACGCAACTATAATACAAAGATTTGATTCATAACGAT